TAAAATACAAGCGAGATACAATATAAAAGCCCCCGTAGCAGTGTTGAAACGCAGGCGCACAGCATCCGTCGTCCATTGCCTAATCTCGCCCTCGGGTTTGCGAGCGCGCGCGCGCGCGCGTACACTTACGTACACACTCAACGGCCGGAGTAGACGCCGACGGGGAGGCAGATGCAGACGTAGCCGAGGCGTTCAGGTGGCACGGCACTCCCCTCGTTGGCAACACGTAGCGGGAAGAAAGAATCCCCTCGGCGTATGGGGTCGGGTGGCGCATCGGCCCCGTGGCTTGAGCTCGGGGTAGCCGAGGGAGAGACGAGCATTAAGCGACTCGCTCTCGGCTCTCGACGAGGCGAACCAGTCGCCGCGGTACGACGCACTCGCGAGTGTCTCCGTGCCGTCGTCGTCGCGCGGCCGCGTCCCGTGAGTTCGGGCTGATGGTGCGCGCACGTGGGGACCGCCGCTGCTTGGCCGACCGCCTCTCGGGCAACGCCGTCACATCGGCCTGTTGGAGGAGGAAAATCAGGGGGAGGAGAAGCAAGAGTAGGAGAAGGAGTTGGATAACCAGGACGATAAAGAGCCGGCAAGGAGATGCCGGGTCTCGTTGCTTTTGGCTGCCGCTGGCATATTGGAAGCGACGACCTCTACCTCCCGGGCTTGCTCCTCTCATCCCTCCATCTCGTCGAGTAAGCAACCACCACCCCCGCCACTACCACCCACTCTGCCCAGGCTCGTTTGTCGGCCCGTGAGAGAGCAGAGTGCCCTGCGGTGCGCGGTTTATCTGTCTCTTGCCTCGCACTGTTCACGGCCCTTTTGAGGTTATGGTCGCTGTGAGGCGCTGAGTGTTTGTTTACCTCTTGCATAAGAATTAACGTAATGCTGGCTTCTCAACCCTCTTTGACACCGCGTTTTACGTTACTCTGGCTTTTTTGTCCTTTGTGAGAACAGACTGGGCTTTCATGGCCTTTCATTCCCTTTGATTGCGAATTCTTTATCACTTGCTTCGTTGGCCATTATACCCACGAACGCTTACAATTTTTTAACGTCTTATCTAGCTGACGCTTTCGATGTATGGCCATGAACTTATTATCAGTGGCAATATTTATTGGAATATTAACATTGAATGATTAATGATCGATAGAGGCCCAATGGCTTTTATCTTAACATATTGCAGGTTATGCAAATACAACAATCGCCCATCTTTGGTATCCATCCGTTATCAAGATTTTGACTAAATATTATCATTACATAGAGCGGCGACATTATGCCTTTCCTTTTGATAATTAAATAATTAAAATTAGTAAAATTACTCGGTGAAAGTTATTCCCGGTAAAATATGATATGCGGTGTCACAAGGTCGTTGTCTATGTATAAAAATTTGGATTTGATAGCGCGGGAGACGGAAACCACTAGTTGATAAGAGAAAATTTCACGAGAAGGTCATTGGCGTCATCTCACGAGGTTTCGAGTTTCATTCGAAAAAAAAAGAAAGAAAGAAAAAAAATGGGCGGGTAGTATACATTTCGATAGTCGGCTTGACGCCCGCCAATTTTAAAATCAGCCCATTTTCAATTTAAAAGCGCATAAACACGCGCGAGCGAATCCCTATTAAAATAATTTACCGCAATCGAATTGTTCTTAAAATAATAAAAATTGAGTTATAATGTAGTTTTTACAAATGTAAATTGCTTATTCGATTACGTTAAATGTTTTACAATTTTATCAAAGTTATCATGGTCTTTTTATTTTCTTTGTTTTTTTCAACCTTTTTACACATATTTCTAAGTAGTATCCACCACTGTAATATACAAATTATTATATAAAAAAAAAAAAAAAGAAAAGAAAAATTTATGTTTCCGTTACAACGACGATAAAATTTAGTCATACTTCCATAGATTGATATTTTATCAAATATCATTATTCAAGATCGCAACACATCTTATATAAATATTTTATTGTTTTATAAATGATTTGTTTGGTTTATTTAAAAAAATAACTAGAATATTTTTTATTAGACGCTTGAAAAAATTAATAATAAGAATAGGGCGCGTGCACGAGGGTGTTTACGAACGAAATAAGCGTGTAGATACATGTATAGCAGGAGACAAAGAGAGAGAGAGAGAGAGAGAGAGAGAGAGAGAGAATGTGAAATTAATAGAAGAAAAAAAAATGTAACCTGAAAGAAATTTAACGATATTTAAACAATGCTTTACGTCTTTCAAATAGTTTTTAAATTATATCAGAAATATTAAATTTATATTAATGTATAATATATATATTTTAGACAATATTCATATGTAATATTTTGTGTTAGAATTATTGTAAAGGGTTCTTTAAGGTTTAAAAGAGATTAACTTAATCGTGAATTATTAATCCGTAATATTTGTAGCGACTGGATGTATATCGAATATTTGGTATAATTAATATAATAAATCAATTTCAATTTACTATATGCGATTTAAATAATTGTTTTACTTTCATAATATACGTGATATAAACTAAATTTTATTTCACGCCAAAATCAATATTCTTATAGATCTCTATTTATTTATGACGTTATCAAATCTTCGCATTGAGTACATTTTCATAGTCGATTTGATATGGTCATAATGACATTGTCTATCTCTTAACATACGATGTTGCAGTCAATACAAACTTTTGAGGTCGTTAAAAGTATGCAAGAAATATATTCTCTGACATTAACGAGCAAATACGTAGGAGAAACAGGAAAGAATGTTTTGGTTCAATTACCTTACGCACAAGCTCTAATTATACGATAATTGAATAGTTGTTTATTATCGTCTATTATTACCATTCGTTATTTCACTCGCATTTTTACACTTTAATTAATCTTTATCCAAATATTTATATTTTATTAAATAACGATTACTGCAACAATAATAATAGCAATAATAACAATAATAACAATAATAACAATAATAATGAATTAAAAACGAGCGTTATTATTAATCGAACTTGTAATTCTCGCGTATTAATTTGCATTTTTATTTGTTTGGTTATTGAAAAGTACACTTTGCTTTACCGAATGATGAAGAGAAGGAAAATCATTCGAAACGAAAATATTCCTTTTCTCATCATGGCATGTACCGCGATCTTCGACGAATCCTAATTGTTATATTCTCCTTAGAATATCATTACTAGGACATTTCATTTATGATATAATAGCTTCCCATAATTCCACGTTCCTTTATGATATTCTATAAATTATTTGCTTTCTTCGTTTCTCTTTATATGCTGGAATTCTTAACGTGATTACTAAAAGAATTAGTAAATTGTACCACAAAAGAACGCATAAAGACTATGGTTATGGTTATGCATATCCATTTATCTTTACTTCTTATCAAGTAATAATTAAATGATTAAAAATACTTTCTACAAAATTGTATCTTATTTTGTGTTAATTTTACGAGCAAATAATTAAATTTTGTGTATAATACCTTTAGTTTCGTAGACTTAATGAAAAGTCTCATTTTATCTCATTAAAAAATTTAATAAATCTTATCTTGTATTAAAAATATCTATTCTTTCAAATATATTGTATTCAAATATTATTTAAATAAACAATTCAGATGTAATAGTATTATGTATTCGCTGAAAAAAATTAATTTCACAGGACGCATAGAGAAGACGGAGTTCGTTGGTTTAGACTAATAGAAAGATTTTATGTTAATAGAGTATTTCTGTGCGTACAGACATATGTGTACATAATTAATTAAGTAATCCATTCTAAATGTAAAATTGTGAAATTGAGCTTTGTTACATATTTAAACAATGCCTCTCAAACATATTGTGATAAAGAGTCGTGAATGTGCTGCAGAAAATGACCTAAATAACTCTTTTTAGCTTATACTTTGCAATGGACATTTTAACGTTATAAATTGCTTAAAAGCGCAACGACTGTATCGCCAGTCATGCTTATACGCTTGAGAAATCACGCTACCTCATTCCACTCTCTCTCTCTCTCTCTCTCTCTCTCTCTCTCTCTCTCTCTCTAGTCGACAAGGCGTGACGCCAAAATTAAAAAAAAAAAAAAGTCAGTCACTATCAGTTGTTTTACAATGGGACATAACAACACGTTGGCTCGAATGAAAATCGCTTAAATTATGTGTCTGAGCTATATTCTCAACTTTTATCCGACCTTTATGTAAGAATCCCTTATATAAATGATGAAATATCCTGAAATTTGACAAATATTATCCTCAGAAAAAATATTGTCTGTCTTGCGTCATTTAATATTCAACGCTAAGCTGCGATCGTTTGAATTTTTTAAATCAGCCGAGTTTGAATTTAATCTGTTAAACGACATAGTCGGTTACGGGATAATGTTACGGAAGAATAATTGATGAAGTGTACCGTATAATCGTACATATAATTCACTTCATTTATATCATCGATTGTTTAATTATTTAATACTAATGTTAAAGGATTCTGCTTCATTCATTGACGATGAAGATAGTCAGTCCGTAGAATATTTTAAAAGATCGTGGAAGTTTTTTTTACCTTTAACATTCAGAGGGAAGTACATTTTAAAATTATTTAAAATCATATTTATAATTAAATACATTTGTTAGTATATACATGACCTTTCAATGTTTAATCCAAACACTTGTCGAAGTTAAATTTTATATTCTTTATGTAAAATTTTGCATTTTACATGCTTCTTATGTCTCAATCGCATATTAATTATTGCCTTTTTGAACGGTGATTATTTCGAAGTTGCCTCTAAACAAAATATCGTGGTTTCCGACATTTCTAAAAATCCATAAATTAACCATAAATTATTAAAAAAAAAAAAAATATATATATATATAATTTATTTGTTTTACTTTATGTATTTCGCCAGCAAATCAAACATCATTATAATTCATAGAATATATGTGATACAAATGGTAATGATAAGTAACATTTTCTAACTAATAAAATTATACATTTTTTATCACCTATTTCGTTAATAAAAAATATAAATGGATTGTTTAATCATAGCGTCTATTTAAGTCCAATATCATCGAGTATGAAACTGTATGTAAGTGCACGTGAAAATCTCGTTAAGTTTTGAGATTTCTGCACTCATTGACTGCTTGCTAATACGTTCAGTCTCTGCCCCGCTCCCCCATCTCCCCCCAACCCCAAAGAAGGGCACAAGGTGGATTGGATCGACGTAATTCACTTTCAAGATAAGGGAAAGGGAGCAGTAATTGTAGTAGCCTCGTAGCCAAAAGGAGCACAAGGGATGAAGCAAAGCCGGATTAGGACACTGTAGCTAACTTTTATGAAGACACAATAAGAGAGCACTGATTGGCACAAGTGGTCATGGACCTCCATTATTTTTAAGTTAATGAGTTTTGCGATTAGACGTGCAAGGATATATGCAAGTTATATGTAAGGATATGTGTAACGGGTATAAAATATCGAATGGGCTGCTATAGCCGTCATAAAGATAACGTATGCGTCATCGTATGTACTGATGAGCGGATATAAATCCGAGAGGAATAAACAAGTCGTACGTGGAAATTTTCAGGACTGAGATGGGATTAAAAATAATTTTCCACTTAATAAGAGAGGCAAAGAAAACGTTTTCGGCATACGGTAATAAGGTCATCGAGATTCTTAATCGTCAGTCATTATCCATCGGAGACTGATGAACTTGAGTTACTTATTTATAAGC